GTAACTGCTTTAGAAACAATTGGAGAATTAAAATTGAATACAGTAAAAGACAGATTATTGGCAGAAGAGGAAAAAAGGAAAAAATTTAATGAGCATGAATATAAAGAGGAGACAAATGCATTTCACTGCTTTCAATGTGGAAAAATAGGTCATAAAAAATACCAGTGCCAGCAGACAGTACGAGGACAAGGACGAAGTTATACAAATGCAGGACCAGTACAACAATATGGTCGAGGTCAACAGTACAGTCGAGGACAACAATATAGTAAAGGACAACTGTATGGTCGTGGAAGAGATAAAGGATATAGTCAAGGTCCAAGACAGGGTAGTTCAAGCAATAGTTACCAAGATAAACAGTATTCCCCAAATGCATATGTGAGTGTTTGTGAAAATAAAGTGAAAAATAGTGATTATAAAAGTGCTGACATTGAATTTTGTGTCGATTCAGGTTCCAGTGATCATTTGATAAACTGTAAGGACTATTTTATGGACTATATAGAATTAAAATCACCTAAAAAAATAGCTGCAGCAAAAAATGGAATATGTCTTGAGGCTATAGGAGTAGGAAATATAGAAATTATATGTACAGTAGGAAAACAAACAAATAAAAGTATATTAAAAAATGTTTTGTATGTACCAGACTTGAGGAAAAATTTATTATCAGTTTCAAAAATGGAAATGGCAGGTTTAAAAGTTGTATTTAGTAGAGGAAAAGTAAGAGTTTATAGTAATGATTATTTGTTAATGATAGGAAACAATATGAATACATTATACATTGTAAATGTTTACAGTTCAGGTATGCATTGCAATTTTTCTAACAAAATAGATCAAACTGATTGTGAATTGTGGCATAGAAGGTTTGGTCACTTAGGTATAAATAATTTAAATTTATTAGTAAAAAATCAGATGGTGCAGGGTTTATCACAACTGGAAAATAAGATAAGTAATAATAATCATTTATGTGAACCTTGTTTATTAGGGAAAAGTACAAGATTACCTTTTAATAAACAAGGATATAGAGCTAAGAGACCTTTAGATCTTGTGCATTCAGATGTATGTGGGCCAATTTCACCAAGTACATATGATGGCAATAATTATTTTTTAACATTCATTGATGATTTCACACACTTTACAAGAGTTTATTTAATGAAACATAAATCAGAGGTTTTCAAATGTTTTCAACATTACTATTATTTGGTAACTAATCATTTTAATAAAAATATATATAAATTGCGAATGGATAATGGGCGCGAATATCTTTCTAATGAGTTTAAACAATTCTGTAGTAGAAATGGAATAATTATGCAACATACTGTACCATACAATCCGGAGATGAATGGTGTAGCAGAAAGATTAAACAGGACAATTATGGATAAAGCTAGAACTATATTGATTGATTCTGGATTAAAAAAGGAATTTTGGGGCGAAGCAGTTATGTATTCAGCCTATGTAATGAACCGAAGCCCAGTTACAGGAAGAGCGAAGACACCTAGTGAGCTGTGGGAAAATAAAAAACCGGATGTATCAAATTTAAGAGTCTTCGGATGTGTAGCATATAATCATGTACCTAAAGAGTTGAGAAGGAAGTTAGATAACAAAGGAAAGAAGATGATAATGATTGGATATAGTATTGGAGGATACAAACTTTATGATGAAGAATCAGGAAAAGTAGTAACAGCAAGAAATGTAGTGTTTGATGAGAGACCTATAAAGAAAGAAAAGAGTGTGTACTTACCTGATTTTGATGAAGAACCAGAACCTGAAAAAGAAGAATCAAAACCAATTAATATGAGTGAGGAAGAGGTTTATGAAGAAAATATAGATGAAAATAATGAAGAAATTATAGAGAGTAAGAAATGTCAGGAAAATAAAGAAAGAGGAAGAGCAAAACGAAATATTAATAAACCAAAATGGCAAGAAGACTATATACTTGATTTAAATGATGAAAGTGATGAAGTGTTATTTGCATTATTAGGTGATACAGAGAATGTTCCTCTGGATTATGAAGATATTCAATTAAGAGAGGATAGAAAGGAATGGAATAAAGCTGTGCAAGAAGAACTAAAAGTATTAGAGGAAAATGAAACATTTCAAATTGTACCAAAACCAGATGACAAGAAAATACTTGATGCTAAATGGATTTTCACAAGAAAGGATATAGGAAAGGAAAGTATATGTAAAGGGAGATTAGTTATTAGAGGATTTCAACAGGAAGGAATAATAGAAGATGTTTATTCACCCGTATTAAGATTACAGACTTTAAGAACTATTTTATCAGTAGCAGCAAATAAAGATTATGAAATTCACCAAATGGATGTAAAGGGAGCTTTTTTGTATGGAGAAATAAATGAAGAAGTATATTTACAACCACCACCAGGAATGAATGTTCCACCAGGATTTGTACTGAAATTGAAAAAATCATTATATGGCTTAAAAAAGTCACCTAAATATTGGTATGAAAAATTTAATGACACAATTACCAAATATGGATTCAAGAGATCTGATAATGACTATTGCTTATATAGTAAAGGGAATTTATACTTGCTTTTGTATGTTGATGATTTGTTGATTTTGGGTACAAATGTAAAGGATATCCAAAAGGTGAAGGAATACCTTAAAACTAAATTTAAAATGAAAGATATGGGAAATAATAATTTAATGTATCTAGGTATATCAATTAATAAAACATCTGAAGGTATTTGTATTGATCAATCAAAATATTTAATGAAGGTTCTTACACATTTTAATATGCAGGATTGTAAGGGTTGTGACACTCCTATGGATGTTAATTATAAATATGATGAAAATGAAATTATTGATGTATCTTATGAGAAACAGTGTCGTTCATTAATAGGATCCCTAATGTATGCCACAGTTGGTACTAGACCTGATTTAGCAGCTTCTGTGTATTACTTAAGTAGATTTCAATCTAAACCAAATGTTGATCTATGGAGAGCTCTTAAAAGATTGTTAAGATATGTTAAAAAGACTGTTAATTTTTCATTGTTGTATAAAAAGGATAATTCTAGTAAACCGTTATTAGGGTATGCAGACGCTGATTGGGCTAGAGACTCTGATAGAAAGTCTACTTCTGGATATTTGTTGAAAGTTTTTAATAACACTGTAGTATGGAAGTCTAGGAAACAAAATACTGTTGCACTAAGTACAACAGAGGCAGAATTTGTAGCTTTGTGTGAATGTATTATGGAAACATGTTGGATGATAAAACTATTAGCTGATTTGGATATTGTAATTGATAATGTTATAGTTTTTGAGGATAACCAAAGTACTATTAAATGTATAAAGAGTTATGAACAAAAGAGATTAAAACATGTAGATGTGAAATACAATTTTGTAAAGCAGAAAGTAGAAGAGAATTTGATAACTGTAAAATATATTTGTAGTAAAGAGCAATTAGCAGATATTCTTACTAAGCCATTGTGTAAAAGTGTATTTAATAAGTTATTACTAAGTGTAGGTTTGAATAATGAAAATGTATGGATTGAGGAAGAGTGTTGAGAAAGCAATCCACACATTTATGAATATGGCAACTTTATTACTCTATGTTTGATGTAGAATAAATCTCTCTGGTTGATGTCGGGTTGGTTTTGTAATAGGAAAAATATGTCTCCTGATAAGTTTTGTAATTTGGAAATATAAATAAATATATAAATATTAATAGTGTGTATAAATATAAAAATAGTGACCTACTAAATTACTTCAAAATCAATAATTTTTGAACAAGGTAACGTTAATAAGCTAGTCTACGATTAAAAAAAAATGTTAATCATCCACTTATTTAACCAAGTGTAAATTATTAGGTACCGCTGTGTTTGTAATTGTTATTCATTACAATACTAACTATCGATAAGAGTTAACATCTTTGTCATCACTTGTAAATTAAATAATTTTACATAAAACAAAAAGAAAATAAATAATGTTGTGTCTAAAATTAGGTCCCATCTGGTGGCAATACATGATCGTTACCGGCGGTAAGCTGTTTCTCACATATCTAACATATTTATTTCTGATTAACCTCTCAATTGTTGTAATTCCCAAGGACGAACGTCTTAATCCAAAAACCTTGCCTTTTCTTAACTACTAAAATGTCTTACATGAATAATTTTTGAGTTGTGTCATATCAGGAGAATATTTCTGCTGTTATCAGCTGAATTTTTCAAGCTGTGTTCCGCTTTGAAGGAAGATATGGTGCATTTAAATTACATGATACAGTTACTTAACATTATTTATTTTTTTGTCCAGTTTAATCTATAGTGAATCTATATTGAGAAGAACTGCCAAGAAATTTACCTAAATTTATTTTTCTTTAAAGCATTATACAATAACATTATTTACTTATTTAAGTAATATGTAAACAAAGTTAATAAACTGCTCTAATTTTTGACTTGACCTAACATTAAATAAAAATTCCACACAGGTTCCCAGAGACCTAACATCTAGATGTTTATCGAAGAGTTATGAAATAGTCATTTTTTTATCTATTTTTTTACTTTTGCAATTAACTTTTTAATAGAGATTTGTGGCCTAGGTTTGTAACTCTGCTTACCAATTGCATAGGGGTTCACCTAATACATTGTTAGGAATTAGGGCACTAGTCACCGTTACTAATAAAATCGTATCAATGTGATGCTTTCGTTTTCTAGCAACATTGAGTGTGCTGAGTACAGGACTCAGTTTAGGATGGGGTTCACCAGTTCTGGTGAAATTAATGAAGATGGGAAACCGCACAGAGATGCTACTATCAAATCCAATCACTACTGAAGATGGCTCCTGGTTGGTATCCATTGGGCCACTGGTTAGCATTTTTTGTGAGTATCAGCAGTGATTTCGTTTTTATTTCAACTAGTTTTTTTTAACTATTTTAATGCAACCAGCAGTTACTGGCCTTTACAATTTCACTAAAACATCAAATGCTGGACCTTTCTTTTTTACAGCAAAAAAAACTTATTACTAAACTAACTTACATATAAAATTCTCGTTTCACTGTGTTTGTAACAAAAGACATTGTGTGTTTATTCAATATGTCTGAGAATTATTTTTCATATATGTAGGGGAGGTGGTGGCAAGATGGGGTACTTAAGCTTTAAAGGTCTGTAATATAAAAAATTACATAGTGAAACAATCATATTTATTTTTTAAATAACAACTAATTATTATTATTCTTATATTTGGTGTCATTAGGAACTTTAGGTAACACATTTGAGAGAAAAAAAAATAAAATAAAAAAAAGGTGTTTTGCCCCGTCTTGCCCCATGGTGCTGGTAAGATGGGGTACCTCCCTGAGGTAAGATGGGGTGATGAGAATGATCCTATGATCTCTGTAGAACGATGATTATTCGAGCTGGCAGAACACGTAGACATGGATGACTTCATCATCATCATCATCATCCTATTTCTACGCAGCTATTATGAGTCCATCTTCCACTTAATGAGCATGATATCCACCCTTCAATGGAAACGGAACAAACTTCATCACAATACATACATGGTGTGTTCCCCCATCTTCACTTTCATCTTCAGATGTTGAAACTCTTCATTGTTTTGCTGTTTTCGGTGATCGGCTATTCTTCTTTAATTTTTTATTTTGATCTTTTGTAGTAGTTTTCTTCGTTTTTTTTTTATATTCATCTTTTCTCTTTTTTGTTTCTATTTTCTACAGTTTTTCTGTTCAGCTCTGTTTTTTTTTGTGGGCGATGACTTTTAATTCTTTTTTGTAGAAGACGACGTGATAATTGCTGTGTGTCCACGCTTTTTAGCAACACGAGAGAATTTCCTTAGGAAGCCTTAACTTTTCTCTCTATAACCCATTTTTTCATCCAAAACCGCTTGAACTCTTCGCTTCCCGCATGGATTCTTCGGATCACGACCGACGACGTTAATCGTAGAATCATTCTAAAAAGACAAACTCACAAAAACGAACTCATTTTTTGGAAAACAAACTAGAACCGAATTATTATCATCAGTTACCCCATCTTGCCTGCAGAGCCCTTTTATATATAAAAAAAAAATAAAAACAAAACAGTCAATAATATTTAAAGAACACAATGCCTACTTTTTTATAGATTAGTTTAAGCATCAATCACAACAACACCTCACCAGGTAACGTTATTTAACAAACCACAGTCACGTGTTAAGCCAGAAGAAAATGTGATAAGCAACTTGCAATAAAACACTTATTTTGCATTTTTTTCGACACTGTGCACTTGTGAACCACTAAACACACGGCGACTGATAAGTCTCATGGTGGCGCGTCGCACGATGATTGAAAGAGCGTGATTGATCAATTTGAACTGTAAATTTTGGTGGGTACCCCGTCTTACCCACTACCCCATCTTACCTCCATCTCCCCTAGGTGATAAGTGTGGACCACCACACTAAATTTATCTTTTGTTTTTCACCATTTTACCATCAAACCTAATTTAATAGCAATATTAATTTATATGATATACAACTTTTGCAGAGTCATCCAGTAACTTGTAAAATGATTATAGCAAATTATTTTAAAAGAACTACTATTCACCTCCTATGTATTTATAGTATATACAATATTGATATAAGTGAAGTCAAAACACTTGTCCAATTTAAGTCCCCGCATATTTGATCACGCGCCACTTGATAGTAGGTAGTTTTTTTAAATGTAAATTCGAATTGATATTTCCAGACTTATGTTGTAAATTATCTGTGTGTATATACCTACCTACGTCTACCATATGAATGAGCAATATGAAATTTTCAGGTTATTTTGGATAACAGAAAATACCTAGATACCTACTGCTTAAACCTACGGTATATTTTAAAGTTACCTGCGACGTCGTACCATTGTGACATTTTTTCGTACATAAACTGATTCGATTAAAACAAACGCCAAATTTAAGTATTGCTTACCACAATATACTAATGAAAACAACAGTTACTGAGATTGACGCAATTTTGCGTGAACAGGCAAACAGATTGCAATCATTTTTATTTTGGGTTCTATTTCGTTTTAAAATATAGTTTTATCACCGACCTCAGAGTCGTCTAATGATTATTGAAGCTAAACTGAACTAAGTTCAATACTTACTTTATATGATATACCTATATACTTACGTGTGATAAATTGAATCTGTCTTCTAGCTCTATCTCACTTTAAAAAGCAAACTGCTTAGGAACCATATGTTATTATGAAATATAAGTCATATTATCGGTTTCAGCTGCGCTTCTTACTCCCATATCTAACGTAATAGGACATAAATACACTATAGTATTATCATCTTTACCAAATATAATTGCTGGCCTTATATTTGTATTTGCTGACAAGTTCTGGCTTGTTCTATTGGGCCGCGGATTCTGTGGAGTATCTATGGGCATGATAATTCCAATTATTTCTGTATATTCAGCAGAAATCGCTAACGTAAGTATCTTTAGAATTTATTATATTAAGTATTCTTGTTAAGTTAAGAAATATTCGAAGTACATCAGCAGACTTCAAAATAAAGCAATTTGTATTTTTATAAAAAGTTCGCCCAAAAAAACCTATCATCAAGGTTACAGTTCTGTTTTTAAAGTCAGAGCAGGTACATAGGGGTACATCGGAGTCAATAAGAACTATCTCTGATATATTTTTTTTTTTATGAAACGGTGTGCCTACCTAAGGCAATGGTCTACGCTGCCACTAATAAAAAATATAAATTGAGATCAGGTCATAAAATCAAGTAAATTAGCCCATCGTGACAAACTCACAATGAATTTATAACGATGTTTTCCAGAGCCCAACGGAGGGAGGTTGGCCTGATAGGATATCAGGCCAACCTCCCTCCGTTGGGCTCTACCATTACAAGAAAATAATATTACCAGTACAAGAAAATAATAGTAATTTTCTTCATTTTTCTAGAATGAGATACGAGGATCTTTGTGCTCCATCTTACAAGTTATCTGTGGTCTGGGCTGCGTGACTATGTTCATCGTAGGACCATTTATGACCTATTTGAATCTCAATATCTTATACAGCTGCTTGACAATATTGTGCTCTATTCCGGCGTTATTTGTACCTCAAAGTCCATATTTCTTGTACACAAAAGGTAGGTGCCAGGTCGAGTACGTAGTTTTTATTAAATTATTTGATTTATATTTTTCTTATTTAATGTGAACAATATCTAATTTTTTTATAGATCGTATCAAATGGCAATAAAATTACCTCAATCTGAATATTAGTATAAATAAATTATTTAGTAAATAATAGGTATGCTAAATACTTTCAGGTCGAATACAAGAAGCACATCAGTTGCTAACATTCCTACGAGGTTCAGAGGAATTAGCTCAAGCTGAAATCGAACAATATTCATTATGCAATAACGTAAAACAAATTGAAACGCCTAAAAAAGTTTACAGAGAGAAATTATTTCTGAAGGCTGTTTACTTGTGTATATGTGTATCAATTTTAACTCAATGTTCAGGATACAATTCGGTGTCTTACTATTTGCAAACTCTATTGGAATCTACGGAGACTAATATTAGTCCAGCGATTGCTTCGGCAGTGGTTGGAGTGTTGCAACTACTTGGAGGTTGCATAACGGCCTGTATTATTGATAAGTACGGTAGAAAAACAATATTGTCTATTTCATTTCTTGGGATTGCTCTTGGATCGGTAAGTCATTCTGTTTAACAATTTTTAGATAACAGCATTATTGTTTACTGAATTAGACAGCGAACAATTTACTTACGCGGGTTGGATCTGTTGGATATTTGTCAACTAAAAACCACACGGTATACCGCCGTGGCACCGATGCAGGAGTCCCAGCATTGGTTTTTTCTTCTTATGGACGTAGTGCATCCGCCTGCGCTAACCGTTTATGCTGCAATTTATCATGATGATTTCCAGGGGGAACCGCGTGGATGTCAACCTGATGAACCCCCTCCCCCTAGGGATTGGGTTAGTATTCTACTACGCCTCCAACTATGGTGTGCAGACCTTATAGATCAAGCAGTAGATTTAGTAGGAAGGAACGTCAGAATTAGACTTTTTTGCGCGTATGTGAGAGAATAAAAGTGAAATAAGCAAAAATATTGCACTTAACCTTTTAGTGTGTCTGTCTACCTTGTATGCAGATCAGTATGTACTGGCATATTACGTTTCTAAAAATAATTCAAATGTTTCAGTTTGGTCTGGGAACATTTTTCAAATTAAAGGAAACTCAGGAAATGCATGGAATTTTGAACTATGTCCCGATTGTATCAATAATTTTTGTCGTATACAGCTTTATTGCAGGTAATTTACCTACTTGTATATCTTTATTTAATTTGTCATTGGTTACATTAAATTATTCAGCAATTGTTTGTTAAACCGAATGTTAACTTCCCTGCATTTGTCGATGTTTTTGCATATCTTACCTGAATTTGATTGTCGTTATTTATTCTGCACTTTTTTTATGCAATTAAAATGCAAAGAAGCCGGCGGTCTACTTGATGGTAAATAAAAATCGTCGCCATACATGTATATGAACAGCACTGCACAACAGGATTACCTACGGCATTAGGTATATGACGCACAAAGGACTAAAGTGTCATGCCTCCATATCCTGTAATTTAATTTATCGGTTGTAATATCTAATACAAAGGTGACCATGCAGACAACTTTCTATAAAGTGTATCTCGTTCAAATAAATAGTTTTTTTAACTATTCTAATGCTGTTAACTGCAGCTGGCCTTTACAGCTTCGCCGAATGATAGAGGGCCAGCGCAGATAGCACTCCAAATATGTGGATAGACTTATAAAGGGCCTGAATGCTAACTCCTGCCTGATGATCCGACTTTAGTCTAAGGGTCCTCAGACTAAAGTTGGGTCCGCTCGAACTTTCGATCCCCGTTTGAATTGGACGAGGGGTCGATAGGAGGGATGAAACATATTGTGATAGTTATATACCGGGACAGTATTAGAGTTTGCTTCTGTATTGATTACAATAAATATCATTTCTATTAAAGCCACTTTTATAGCACACTTTTTAAATTATATTTGTTTTCTAGGTCCTGGAACCCTTCTCTTCACATTACAGGCTGAGTTATTCGACAGACCAACTAAAACCGTGGGAGCTTCGATATCAATCTTTACAAATATGCTAATCATGTTTCTGGCCATCAGATACAACGACACTATAATCAATTATATCGGAGTGTATTGGAATTACTGGATGTTTAGTTGTATATCTGTGTTCGGTTGTTTATTTGTTATTTTATTTATACCAGAGACAAAGGGGAAGACTTTTACTGAAATACAGGAATTGCTGGGAAATGGATGTAAAACTACGTTTACACTTTGTAAGTGAGTGCGGTTACTATGTATGTAAATAATAAGTAAGATAGTAATCTATGTAATTTTTTATCCACCTGGAATGATAAATAGATTGAGGGCCCAGCTCCTGGTAGGTGAATATCGTAATTTATACAGATAATACTGGCTGTTATACGTGTTTTCGTTTGCTTCTTAGTTAAAAAATAGGCTATGTACAATCTAGTGCCATATCAAATTTATAATCCATTCAACCATTTAGTCGTGAAAAGGTAACAAACAGACAGACAGTCAGCGATTCGCTTTAATAATATTGTAATATTATATGGTCATCCATACTACATGGACAAAATGTGGTCTTGTGAAGTCTTTAATTAGGTACTGTAGATACATACCTACTTAGATATCTTCATCCTTTTATTTGTACATGTATCATTACATAGTCAAAATAAAGTCTCTGTCGCTGTCTGTCCCTATGTATGCTTAAATCTTTAAAACTACGCAACGGATTTTGAAGCGGTTTTTTTAAATCGATAGAGTGAATCTAGAGTAAGGTTTATTATATCTATATAGTACATATACACCCGTGCGAAGCCGGGGCGAGTAGCTAGTAATATATAAAATGGTATCATCATCTGGCCAAAACTGTATATTTGTCAGTGTGTTTTTTTCTGTATTAATTATAAAGCACATTGATTTTAGAATAAAAAGTATAATCCAACACATATAAAATTTGTGTTCTTGTTGCTAAGTAACAGTTATGTGTATCGTGCAACTATTATGGAAACCAGATTAAATTATATTTACTGCTATATATGTATCCGCTAAATATATCCATCATTAATGGAATTATTACACACTGGCGGGGCACCAGATAACGATGATTGGATGAGCATGAAATCAGGTTAGAAGGTTATCTTGGAATCATCAGGAATTAAACACAGTTTCCAGGGGTGACTCTATGGAGGTCGACCTGACGTGGTACATTATTAACAATCGGGCCTCTGTACCCACAGGGCCACTGTATTACTATTAATCCCCTACCTAGAGCTACATATGTGTTAAGTTTTCAAATAAAAACGAGCGGAGGAGTTAGGATGATATTTTTACTGCGACTTAGTCCGCGTGGAATTTAACTTTTATTTTCTAAAATAAAAGTAGCCTATGTGAGTAACATACTACATACTTATTACATTAGCTAAAAAAAGTACCGTCAAAAACGGTCCATCCATTTCAGAGATTAGCTGGAACAAACAGACAGGCAGACAAAAATTGTAAAAAATGTTTTTTTGGTGGTTACTTTGGTACTGTATTTATATTCATATGCATGTAGTAAAAACGGTTATTTCAATATTACAAACAGACTCCAATTTTTTTATATGTATAGATAACATTTAATTTGGGGAATATTTTAATACGTAATTATTATTAAATTATTGTATTAGTAAATTCATTGTAATAAGATTGTACATAGACAATGTTATTAATCAATTTACTAATAAACAACTAAATGGCGTTGTATAGATGTTTTATATATATTTGTCGTTTAATTAAGTATCTTTAGTACACGGCGATTCACATTGGGTATGTACTAAACGCGTGCGCAGGCGGCAGGAGTCTCCACTAGTAGTTAATAAATCTAAATTTTATTGATGCTTGAACTATTTTGTAAATATAAGTAAGTTTTAATTAAATATTGTTTGTAGAATTATTGGTCATTCATTTAGTGTGGTAACTACATATGTATATACCTACTTGAACCTGAAATAAATTACTTTGTGGTGTACCTTCATAACTTATATTTTAGTGAGTTTTAAATGTATTTGACGTCACAAAAGTAAAACTCATATATTTTTATATTTTTACATGAATAGACTCATTATTCTCTCTATATCTATTACTTATAGCTATTATGTAATAATATCCCTGTAGAATTCACACACCATCATCTAGTCCCAAGCTAAGCAGAGCTCGTGTTATGGGTACTAAACAACGGATGAAAATACTTTTTTTAGTAAATACATACATAATATACCTACATAGGGGGAAAGGGGATTGTTAGTAATGTGGACTGATGATCTTATTGCTAGCAATGTACCATGTCAGGTTGACCTCCAGGTGGTTCCCCCTGGAAACCATTGTGATCAATTACTGGTGAATTTGTCACGATGGGCTAACTGACCTGACCTCTTGCTCATCTTATCATCCTCCACTGGTGCCCCGCCAGCGTAAACCATTAGCGCAGGCGGGGGCAACATTCCATTATCATCCATTAAAAAAAAATATATATACCTACATAGAAAACACCGAGACCGATACAATCATACTCATCAATGTTTGCACCGTGCGAGGAAGCGTGACCAGTGACCGTCGGATGTAAAACGTTAAATTAGGCACTAAAATGTATATTTTATACTGATTGAAAAACATTCAACATTTCTAAATATCAAAACGAATTAATGTATGGCACAAATAAATATTTTTATTATCATCCAATATTTATTTCAATATAAAGTAATCTTAATAATAAATACACTTAATTATTATCCTAAAAAATATAATCTAATTACATTTCAACATTTCTCAGCCTTATCTTGATTCTTTTTTTTCTGTCCCAACAAAACTTGAATTTCAGCGAACGATCGTCCCTTAGTTTCGGGGATACAGAACAGTATGAACATACACAGTAATATACAATTGACACTGAACATCCAATATGTCGCCGGTGCGCCTATGGCTGTTGTCACAAAGGCGAAGTATTTTAGGGTCATGAAAAGGGTTAAAGACCCTATTATTCCTGAGACAGTTAGCCCTATGGCTCTAGATGGTCCATCAAAGAGTTCGGAGCACAATGGCCAATTTACTGAACCTGGTCCTGAAAACAGACAAACAAAAAATCGTAACTTCTGTGAGCGAAGGACTGTATGTACCTATATTGTAAATATTGGTGTGGTTGTGGTTGGTAAATATAATTATAGAAGGACGGTTTTGAGACAGAAGTAATATCATTCTACGTACAGAAGAAAAACAGTTAACAGAAGAATGTCATATAATATTTTTCTATATTAAATAATGAGTATAAAACATATTATTTATGTTTTTTAAGTATAATTATTTATGTCATATAAAGAGGTGCGTTGTGCACATCTTCAATGATTGATATTTAAAGAATGATACTCCTATCTACTGTACTACTTTCATAGAATGCATTTGATACTATGTCACTTGCTGATATACTATACTTTATAGTTAAATAAATAAAATAATTAGTCAAGTACTTTTTGAGTTTATAAATTATTTTTATGTAATTGGAATGGCAAACAAGCTGACGCTCCACTTGATGGTAAGCCGTAATCGTCACTTTTATTAGTATATATATATGAACAGCATTACGGAAATTACGTTATCATGTGACTGCGTTGCCATTCTTGAGAACTACGATGTCATGGCTCAATTCCATTACATACAAATAAAACAATTTCTTTTTCTTTATAATTTAGGTAGGTATGACATAAACGTTGGTATGGGCATCTCTTCAGAATATTTAAATATTTTTATATGAAGATTATTTAGAGAAAGAAACTTTGGAATAGATGTTTCAATTTGAAAAGTGCTTATAAAACTAACTATAGCTCGTATGTAATATAAGTCCATAAGGTTGTATATTTACCTGCACTGTAGCAATATACAACAAGTATCAGAGATATTAATGGCAGATAATTCATGAAACCGCTGATTTGTTCGTGAGTTTCTCTGATTCGGAAGAATATTCCAAGACCAATCTGAAAACAAACTTCAAAATATAAGTACGTATATTATTTTTAAAATTCTTTTACAATTTTGTATTTTAAATTATAATTGCAATAAAGAGTATAATTTAAAAAGAAAGTTAAGAGCCCACTTGATGGAAAGTATTAATATAATTATACTATAATAATGTAGGGAACTAATATATGTGGATATAAAGGCATAACAAGCGTTGCATTAACCTGATTGATGACTGATAACAATTGTATTGGCTACACTGAGATAGAAATTGTGAATGTGTATTTTTTACTACTACCTATATCTCAAATTTATAACTCTATCACTGAGCTCACAAATAAATCTGATGACGGTAGAAATAGGTGTAACCATGCGATTCTATAAAGGCTCTCTGCTTCGTAAAAGTCATAATTAAATATTTACACATGAGCTCTGTGAAACTGTTGATTCAACTCACCATTCCTATAGCAGTTCCAGCCAATGTGGACCCCAAAATAGGTTTCCTTCCAAATCTATCTGTTACTAAAGTAGTACAAAAACTAGCAATCAGTTGTATGAATCCGATAATCACTGATGCAATCTCAGGTTTAACACTGGTTTTGGTCGATTCTAATACAGTTTGCAGATAAAAAGTCACTGCATTGAAACCGATTATTTGACTGCCTGTAGTTAATACTAAAACTATTCCGAATGCTTTTAGGAATTGTCTATTTTTGAATATATCAATAATGTTTGGTTTGACGTCGTCTGTGGACGAGTATTCCTTTATTTCTTCATTTGCTAATACTTCGGAACCTCGGAGGAACGTCAGAACTTTTAATGCTTCTTCTGTCCGCCCTGAAAAAATATATACATAATTTTTAATATTAATAGAAACTGGGACTCAATATATATATATAGTATGTAAAATATGTATAATAGAAAAGTTTAACTATTTTATTTGTGTAAAGTGTGGTAAAGTTTCAGTTTATGAACATCATTGTAATTTCTTCTGTCAATGAGTATGTAACTGAATTCGTCCAAAACTAACGGCTCGAAATAGGTTTTTTTTGTGTTTGTATGAATGCAATTTCGAATTCCTGATTTTTTATTGATTGTTTAGATTGATTACTTTAGATTCACACAAGACCCGGTAGGTAACATATATAAGCACATTACAAATAAATATTATAGGCTCCAGCGACAAATGTGCCAAATTGCCACCAAACTGTTATCTATAGTAACAAAATCTTAAGAATAAAATGGTAGGTATAGGATAAATACATACCTTTTGAATATAGATAATAGGGACTGTCCGGCAAAAACAGGAGTGGTATAGATAGAACCACAACGACGCCTGTAAATACCATATTGAGAGTCACATATGGTGTGAACGGACCAATACTCAGCATCAGCAGGATGCCAAGAGAGCATAGTATTTGCAGTATAGTACCCAAGGCACCGCGAATTTCTTTCTGCAAACACAAATAAAAGTAAGTTAAGAATAGTTAAGAATTCTACAAACTATATTTTTTCATTCATTACCGGTTTCTTTCCGGAATTTTGTTCACGTGACTAGATTTGATCAGGTTAAAAAGGCATTGAAATCTAGTACGACGTTCCAATACTACAACAAACATCAAGACATCGCCTAATAATAATAATCATCTTTATTTGTCTCAAATTATAAACTAATGCAATTGGTGCTTATAATAAAATTTAGAAGTAATAAACAAGAAAATCTGTCTATAACTCAATGTGAGTCCACCCTCTCTGCTATTCTGTTATAGCCTTTATTAGTGACGACGTCATGAAGTATTATGTATTTGTATCAAATAATATTGTCACAGGACAATTTACACATCGAAATCTAGTTCCAAGCTAAGCAGCGCTTGAGTTATTGTAGCAGCCCAAGGCCATCAATTATATCCTTCATTGAAGGCAAAAACGTACAACGCAGACAAAAAACAGAACAAGGGTCTATGTTATAGATATATTAATGTTCGTATAGCTAAGACAAGATTATTAGAGAAGGACGTATAATACCTATTTAGGTATTATACGTCCTTCTCTTTGTATTTACAAATGTTTAGACATATTGTGCGGTAATATGCGACCCTCGCAAGGTGGGATAATGTGTTAAACCTTTAGCATCGTGACCATTGAGGTCACTGCTGCTAAATAAATTATTTCCTATAATTTGAATCTGTATTTTCCATCAAATATACTCACGCTAGCAACTTCGGAAGCGTACGTCGGTACTACAGTGAATGTAAAAGTATCTGCTATTGCTCCAAACACTCGGCCCAGCATGAGCATCCAGATTTCGGTGGCAAACGTGAATATTAAACACATGATCATCTTCGGGACACACGACAGGATAATACATTGTCTCCTGCCTATCCTGTCAAGTAGAACGGCGGGCAGGAAACTGACTGAAAAATAAATAAAGTAGAAATATTTTTAATGACCATACCAATCGTATCGTCCATGAATTAAACCCGCAATCCCAAGTAACTACCGAGAGGTAGTCTAGTGGTTTACGATACCACAATGAAATGTATGTAAGCAGTAATAATAATAAAGAAAGAAATAATAATGAAAAAGGATTTTGTCACTTTTACCTTTCAACCCATTAGGTATATTTTCAACAGTTTCAATGAAGGTTTTTCTCTATTTTTGGATTTATGTTTTATTTGTTGTTTGTTAAACCTGAATAAATTTAGATAATAATAATATTTTTATTGTGAATTTTAGGAACGGCTATGGAAATATAACAATGTCCATAACCGTTCCTAAAATAATCATCAATTATCATAAAATAGTCTTTTAGCTTCACCGACCAAAATAGGGACGAATGCATATATATGCCGCTGGAGAACTAATTGAGCGGCTGGAGTAAAATTCCATTACGTCGAGTTTTGTTTCAGTAAATTTCAGAGGTTTGAACCTAGCCTGAGCCGGCATAATTCCACTCCAGTATTATTCGACGGAATGGGACTGGGGATCGATCAGAGGGAACCTATGACAGGATTGCATTATTGGGTATGCAATAGATCTTTTGTTATGTTGTATGTCGTCATTCCTACAACTATCATAACATCACCGTACACTACGCAATCGACACGGTTATCACAGACAGGTATCACGTCACAAATATAGAAAATATTGTTGTTTTGTTACGTATACCAAAATATTTTGAACGAAAATAAAACAAAAGTCATAACAAGAGTGGTACGTCAGCGTACAGTGACAAACAGAGAGAGAAAGGCTTCAATGTTGTTAAAAATAACCCCAATTGTTTCAGTAAATTTTATCAATAGAGTGACTAACCGAGGTCAAACCATGAGTATAATGGGTACTTACGTATTTTTATATTACGCAAGTTTATTCACTAACACTATATTTTTGGTTACTGTTTAAATATTTATTGTTATATACTTGAAAACATTCAAAATTTATTCTCTCTATACACTTATGACGTCATTAGTTATGACGTATGTTTTGCACATTTTAAATTATCATTATATCAATATTTTCGATTCGTTCAATATTTTCTATTGATATCTAATGATAATTTGACTTATAATATTCGTCATAGCCGTCATCTGGGTGTACTTATTATTTTGCAGCCATACCTAAGAATACTGCTTGTGGTCGTCATATTTTATGATATCCATGATGCTGTTTATACTTATATGCAACGGTTGTCACTTTCCATTAGGTGGTTATAAGTATTATTTAAGTTTAAAAAAAAAATGTTGTTAATAATATAACAACATATGTATGACAGAAATAAATTACATAATAAAAAGGACACTTACAACATATTGCAACCAGGAAGCCTATTGAAACTATCCAGGAGCCTTCTTCTTCGGTAATCGGCTTAGAGAATATAGTTTCATTGTTGTTGCTAAGCTTCACTAGGACTGGTGATGGCCACGCCAAGCTAAGGCCAGTACAGAGCACGCTGAAGTTTGCTGTAAACGAAATTTGTGCAAATGTAAATAAAGAGTAAACGCGCTTCCAACACCATAAAACAGAAATCAAAAATACATAGGTAAATAATAATAAAATTAGTTATTTTGATGTAGGTACCGATTGTTTGTAATTTTTAATGGATTTCAAAAAAAGGAAAAGTTATTGAAAGTTGGTGCTTCTCGTTGGTCTCACATAAATAATTGATTAAAATCTGATCATTAGTTTTTGGGTTATCCGTTTTAAAGTAATTGAAGTCAGTTTTTTCTTGGATTGAACTCAGTATTATATTTTACTCATTTTAGTTTTTAAGCTCGTATGAATGAATACAGTAAGACCGTTACTCGTATTAATTCATGCGAGACGACTTCTGATAAATATAAATTAAAAGATTTCAACACGGTTTTTTCTACGAAGAAGGAAAATTATAATACGTAATAAAATATATTCCTACACCATTTTCCTAGTAAGATAATAACAATAACCCTGGATAATTCACACAGTGCCATCTGGTACCAAGTCAAGCAATCTATGTTATGGGTAGTAGCCATAGTATAGTAGGTAAATCTAAGTAATGATTATCTATCTTATAAGGAGAAATCTGAGTTTAGCAGTGAGGTAATTAATAGGTGGTTATGATAAATCTTTAAGAAGGTCTGATGTAAAGTAGGCAGTCCTAAGTCAAATTAATAATTATAATAAAATCTAAGGACAATTCACAAAGCGCCATGTAGTCGTAAGCTAAGCAAGTACTAGGCAACAGAAATAAATTAAGATACATTTTTTCAATCCATACATAATATTCGTAGAAAACATCCAGAACAACAGACATAGTTCAATTCAAATTCAAATTCAAAATATCTTTATTCATGTAGGTCTATTACAGACTCTTATGATATGTCAAATCTACCGTCAGTTCGGAATGATATCGAGATGAGAAGAACTGACAAGAAACTCAGCTCGTATTTTTTTCAAATAATAGTGGATAGTAGTATAATGAACACAAATATTTGTACCGTACGAGGTATCAAACCCGCGACCATCGGAAGTAAAGGAGTGTGCTGAACCGCTAGGCCACCAAAGCCATCGGTAAATCATACTTATAATCAAGGAGAGTCTGAGAGAGAGAAATGCCTCAAAAGTTTTGCACACGGTTTTCACTAATGTAGCAAACATGAATTAAAATTTTGTGTTTGTTGTTGTTCAATCAGTTTACAAGTAGAAGTCGCGGGCTCATCTAGTGTTATATAACTTAAAGGAGGCTCATATAAACATCACCAAATGTAAACCAAATCATAAGAGACATGCATAAAGTAGCGCATTCCATTACCTGATAACATGAACGTGTTGTAACCTTTACGCAGAACTCTTTTATATAATTTATTATATATATTATAAATCGTACAAGTCACGTGTTTATACATAAGAGTAGTCTTTGTACGTCATATACTATGTGCGTATTTTTAAATACAGATTAATAAACAAAGAAATAAGTCTTATTTTTTATTATGTAGTTACTGATATACCTTTTATCCAGGGGTGTCAACTATACTTTCAGATAGTTACGAAATTTTGATTTACAGAAATCGGTTAAAACGCAATGATATATGAGTTAAGAGAGTCAAATTAAATAGAACTCGAGATTTTTGAGAACGTATGATACTAAATGTTTTTGGTTGATAACCCTGCTATATTCACTGTACTTATATTCTTATTATTTTGTCATAAACAGAGAATATTTTTTCAGCACTTGTAACCTACAAAGATAGTTTTAATTGGATGCATTTCCTTTCCAAAAGAGCCCAATATTTTTTTAATACTACTGTATCTAATATAGTATGCAAATTAAAAAATATACCTATATTTAAAATATTTTAAAAATTACTCACATATTTTTAAGTCGTTTATATTGCTAATAGTAGATACTGCATTAAGCCTATATCATTAAATTGAACTATAACATAGTCAACGATGGCAAATCATTTCCGCTCACGGTCAGTGTCATCGCTGTCAACCGACCTTCTACGGAAGGTCGTGGATCAGTGCTAGGTAGGTGCGATAAAATTTGTCAATATAAATTCTACCGTAATTACAAGTATGTTGATATAAATTACAACAATTATATTTTCAGTTGACTTTAAAAATATTGAGGACTACTAATGTTTGTTTTTAGAGTAGATACTTATCGTAGAATGCGAAGCAAGAATTAGTTACGATGGAGCTACTTATTGTCTGAGCTAAGCTATATCATACTTATTTTTGTGATCCTATAATCTAAGCTCATAAATAAATAATTTAAAAAAGGAGAAATTTTAAAGTGCGTAGATTAAAATCACCTAAAAATATGGTCACTATATTTTCATCTTTCGCGACAATTATTTCATCTTTCTTCGGAAGTCTTCTTCAGGATTCGATAGACGAAAATGTAGCAAGTTCATTAAGTTTAAGTTAGAATATGATTGTAAAATATTAGTGCAGGATGTTACAACATTGACGGTATTTACTTTGATTTAATTTTAATCTTTAATCATATTTAAAGTATTCTTTAAACTTTCTTCTTACTTATTTAAATTTTAAACCGATTTTAATCATTATGACTAAACAATTTATTATCTAATTAAAATTTGATAATGTAATTTAATAAATTAAAATTCTAGCAGTTTTGTATTGTTGTATGGTATATCTTATTGGACAGTAGGTATTTATTCGTAAGTGCGATTGTTCTGAACACGGCACTTTTTATTACGTGGTGTCATAGCCTTCGTTAATGATCAGAGTGCACGTGGACAGCGTGTTTAACAAAGACATTTAAAATGTATCTAAGTAGGTACTTTGTGTATATGCATAGTTGTCTAAATTAATATTATAGATACTTATATAGGTACATATGGAGATGAACTCTTACGTTGAAAATAGAATTCCAAACACTGATTTGATGAGACTCCTAGTATAAACAGTATAAAAAATGAATGTTATTTTATTATGATTATTAATTTTCGTTCCATTTAGGTGTATCATACTGTTTGCGGAAGTACGCAAAATGTTTGCTAAATATTTACTTACATTATTTAAAGGTTAACAAAAATGACATTACAGTGCACTTAGAACTAGGTAAACCTGTGTCGCAACTCGGTAATCTGATTACCAGCTTGGTATTTCCCTTACTGAAGACTTAGTCAGATATATAAATAGATAGGTACACAAAGTTTTTTAGTTTTCGGCCAGATCCGAACTCATATTTATTCAATATATATAATACTCAGTTCAGAGTGGTAAACAACTAGATCATGACGAAGCTCAAATTAGATTTCGATATATTGTATATTCTATACATAAAATTAGAATAGATTCGTCAGGATTATTTACATAATCAAGCGCAAGGTAATTTTTAATTATCAAAGTAACAAATTTCCTCTAAAAGTAAAACCTTTACTCCACGTGGATTCGAATGGAAACCATCATGATGAATTCCTGGTGAATTTCTCATCTCGGGCTAACTGACTTGAGCTCAAGTATCATCCTCCACAGGTGCCCTGCCAGCGTAAACGCAGACGGGTGCACCATTCCATTGTTATCCATTAAAAATATATATAGACCATATATATACATATATATATATATATATATATATATATATATATATATATATATATATATAAATATCCCCTGGGGCACTTTGTGGCTCAGACGTGCCGTATAGGTAGTTTTTTGTTGATCCTTTTTCACTTGTTGATCCGGAGGCCTTTTGTTGATCTAATGCCAGATGACCATATATAAATGTTGATCCGTTTTGAGCCACAACTGTCACGACGAGTAATAATAATAATTAAGCGATTTATACACGATTTTATACAAATCCACCTTTTTGGCATACGAGCAGTTCTTGATCCAATTCAAACGGGCCAATCAGGGTGCAGCATTTGCCAAGGGCTTCCTCATTGGCACGTTTGGGCTACTACATTATGGCTACAGTAACTTAATAATGTCTAGCTAGTATTTCAAGAATAATAGTCTATCTAATCTAAATATTTATTGAAATCAGTCTGGAGTAACGTGACTCCAGATCAAACCTCAATACTTGTTATTTTTTGGATGGGAATCTTTTCTTTTGTAACAACGTTACTGAGCGAATAAAGAGAAGACGCAACGGCGGATCCAGGGGGGAGCGTCATGGAGGTCATGGGAGTCATGGGGGCGTCATGACTCTCCCCCCTTGCCCAGAACTTAGGTAGACCACTAATTGAACTAAAAAATAATGAAACAGCAAATTTTTTTGCACGATCGGAGTGTTGGTGCAGTAGTATTAATTATAATTAAACATTGTTACTTAAAACATAACAGTCAAAGTACTATAACACTAAAAGCAAAATAGGTATTTTCAAAATACTTTTTCAAAATAAATTACCCTTTGAGTTTTTGTTCAAACCTCAGATATTATATTTATTTTAGGTATATCAATCAATACATAGTATAGCATAGTACAGTCTGTCTGTCTGTCTGTTTGTTCCGGCTAATCTCTGAAATAGCTGGACCGATTTTGACGGGACTTTTTTTGGCAAGTAGCTGATGTAATAAGGAGTAACTTACGCTACTGTTATTTTAGAAAAATAAAATAAAATTTCACGCGGACGAAGTCGCTGGGGCCAGCTAGTCTATAGATATACCGAGATTTAATGTTTAAGTTGCTATTATGTTATTGACAAAATTTTACTGTAATGTTACTATTACGTTATCCTACACAATTTGTATTATTTTGGATGAATAAATAAATAAATAAATAAATAATAATCTATACATCTATACATTTAATAAAAATTGGAGTGTCTGTTTGTAATATTGAAAAAACCGTTTTTTACTACATGCATATGAATATATATAAGGTACATATACCAAAATAACTATTTTTATAATTTTAGTCTGTCTGTCTGTCTGTCTGTTTGTTCCGGCTAATCTCTGAAATGGCTGGACCGATTTTGACGGTACATATTTTTTTTTGGCTATA